ATTGGGGTGAAGTCCACAACATATCAATACAATTTACGTTATCTCTATCCAATAGGAACAGGGGGAACAGGTAAGGAAATCTTCGTCAAAACGAACTCAACATAAATATTTTTTTTATTTTCAATTCATCCATCCACATCAAGGGCCTTTAAATATTGACATAATCGGAAAACCACTCCTATGGCACATAACAAAGCTGAACCAATAAACAATAATTATCGTCAGGAGTAAAACTGTTCTACCTAGCGTAGCTTCTGTTCTAAAACAACATGTATTTAAAAGAATGTTGACTCGAAAATGACTATTTAAAAAACTGCATGACAATACCTCACATAATTTGATTTCCTGAAATTGGTTCTTCCGAAACTTAGTTTACACAGGAAAAAGCTACACAATTTCCCCCTGCATTTTCATGCAATACATAATTGTTCAAATTAGAATCTAATCTAGCCTGCAAGGCCTTTCAGAATCACGGTGGTATCCAAAGTGTATACAAAGCAGTGGATGCGTTTGATGGGGAAATTTAACTAATGTCAGTGCGACGGTTGGCCACCCTGCCTCGTATCAGCTGTTTGTATCCAAGGTCGTCAGTCGTCCCTCCTCTCATACTCTCCAGTTCCAGACAGAGACGGTGTAATTTGTTGGCTGCACAACAATGACCGTTCGTCCATGATTCCGTTCCTACCAACCCCATACTTCCAACCACAGTTTGTGACAACATTCCACTATTGTTTTAATATCCCCGCCGCAGCAAACCTGCAGACTTGGCAAATTTCTATTTCCCTGACTGGACTTGGAATCCACTAAATTGTCAAATTCAGTCCCTATTTACAAATAATTAATTCTAATAAATACTTAGGTTTGCTGCTACAGGGAAGAAACCTAAGTATGAAGTAGAAACCATTTTCCAAAATTAATTTAATTATGTCCATAGATAGGCAAGCTACAACTGTTTATTTATTCTCCATAAGAATAACATGATAATTTTAAATTTACACTTTTTTTCTGTAGTAACCATTAGGCTTACAACAACGCTTCAGGACATTAAATTTGTTGTTTTATTGAGCTCTACAAAATGGTTTGGAAACAAATTGCAAAATCTTATGTTTTTAGAATGAAAATGGGAAAACCCCATAAAACCCCATTAAACCCATGTTCCTATAGTCTGAAAAGCGATCTTGTTTGAATTAATGTAGGCTAGGCTTGATTTATGCCAAATTTCATAAAAATTTAATAATTTTCACTCGAGTTATCATTCTAACGGACACATAGGCCTATATAGGCCCTAAATAGGTATATAGTACTGTGAATTTGAACGGTTGGTGTTTTTGGTCTTTGGGGACCTCAAAACAAAAAAGTAAATCGGTCCCGGGTCCAGGTCTTACCATGAGACCTACTACAACAAATTTAGGTCAACAATTGAAAAAACTAATAAAAATCACTAGGTAGTCTTTACTTCTGACTTGTCAATAAGGTTAAAAAGATATTTATGCTACTAAATAGGTACTCATTCGCTTCAGCGTAATATCATTGACTAATGGTAATATCAACATTTAAATAAGAGCATCAAACTAAGGTAACTACTTTCATTCGTTTCCCAGCCTTAACACATTTAAAAGAGAATAAATTTTCAGATCATCCCCACCACAAAGATAGAAGACCTGTAAGACCTGTAGGCCTATATGGCTTAAGCCCCACTCAGTTAGGTCCTGCTATTTGTTTATCTTTGCCCCACCTCAACATTTTAAGATAGGACTGAGGACTGGCACACCTACTAACAGATAACTGAACATGAAATGCCTTCTTGGAAAAGAACACCATTAAACATATATTCTCTTTGATAACACAGGGTTTTAAAAAGAAAAGGTAAAGGCCCAGTAAAACATTAATCAAATGTGTAACACAAAGTTCAGTTATCTTTCAGCGAAAAATAATGTCTCAATACAATTATTTTCTTAAAAAACCTAAAAACTGCTTTAAGATGAAAAAAATTCCAAATTTCTACTTTGTCCATTCAGCAGAATACAACTTGCAATCGTGCAAAGGGGGTGTAAGCTAAAACTACAGCAGACACTTGATCTTTTGAGAGTTTGATCTTTTTGTAAATTGAAAGTAAGTTATTGTAGGCTAGTTGGACAAGTGGACAGTCATATTTACATTATCATGTTTTCTTTTAAAATTCTCCTAAAAACTTCAAGACACTATTTTGATCACGTTCACAAATAAACGCTGATGGATTCAATCCCGAGATAACATTAATTTTGGTTGGTAAAAGTCGCCAATTGCCTTTGTGCTATCAATAGCCTAAATAAATTACGCTGTCTAACGATTCGCATTGCTGGACAGGGCCAATATGTGAAAGATGCAAACATGGACCATTCCAATAGACAAAAATTGTTCAAATGACAACCCATCAAACTAAGTTAGGCCTATATTAAAAATTCCATATTGCCCGTGCCAAAGTACGACAACCCTAATCAAAAGTTTTGTTGCAGCTCGGAGCTTAATGAATAGTAGTGCCTGTGTTTTAATGAATTTCCTGAAAAGGGAATAAGCCAATTACCGTTGGTGGTCCATGGTAAAACCCAGACCCAGGACCAGTTTGCTTTTTTGTTTTGATATCCCCATAAGCCAAAAACATCATCCGTTCATATTTGTATTGTAGCCTCAGAGGCTATACTATGTAGGGGCTATGACCATTAGAACGATTTTACTCAAGTTAAAATCATCTGAATTTTAGATGAAGTTTAGGACAAACGTTAGTCTACGGTGAAATCCAATCAGGCATAAAGAAATTCGCTTAAGTTAGTCATCAGGTTTGCTGCAGCGGGGATGATTTATATTTAAAGCATATGCCACCGTCATCAAGGTTGTTTGAACCAAACTGAGTGGGTTTTCATTAGGGTACATCATCCTGCAGAGATACTTCATAGGCCTATTCTATTGTTTTTAGCATTTTACTATCACTAGCATTACTAGCATTTTAAAATGTAGCCTAACAGCCAAACATTAAAAGGTAGTAAGGCTTGGTATTAATGTTCTTAAATCCTGAGAAATGTTTTCAACTTTTAGATGATTGATTTTAAGCCACTTTTGCAGCCAATTTGATGACAAATGGATTCATTGGCTGTAAGCTAACTGGTTACTATCAGACATCACATTTATCCCACACTCATCATTCTCTCCTACTTGGCCTTTACGTTTTGCTGTTAGGCTAACATCTAGATTTAGTAGAATATTTGAATGATCCAGTAACTTTCAATTGAGTAGTTGTTCAGATCCCAATTTCTTCTTACGGTGGGTCTAGCCTAATGCATTTACCCAAATTAAAACGGTTAAACAATTCAATTAGATAACTTACGTTACCGGTACCCTAAAATAAAACAGGATTAAACAGCCAACCACAATACTAAGATTGTTCATTTAATTCGTTTAAGATTGTTAAATTTATAGCCTAGCCTATTTGCAATGTTAAATGCCAAGAAGAACTAAAAAATAACTTTTGATCCTTTGTGCGATAATTTATTGTGGGTCTTATTATAAAAAAAAGCAACACGTCCCACAATTTAGAGTCCAGTCTACATCTGAATTTCACAATAACATGTAAATGGGCATTTGACTTGACAGGTACAATCATTTATTTTTAATCCCGACTCCTATAAATACTGAATGAATTGAATCTCCTTTGTCAGTGTGTCTGCCAGGTCTAATTTTAAGTCTACAATCATTCCTCGGTGGTTTCGAGTTTATTTTCACTACCTTGTCTGTTGCAAAATTTAAGTTGTAGGCCTATACCGGATAGATGCTAAGTTAACAGAGCCTAGGCTAATTATATAGGTACTGTAGGCCTATTCAGAAAGAGCTTTTTTATTGGCTTACATTCCCTTTTGCAAAAAACTGATAAATTAAGAATTAGACGGCAAATGAAATAAGTCTGGATTGCTAAACTTACTGCCAAATAGAAGTTGTTCCCTATTAATATTTTTCCGGAACATAATGCAGCGTTTAGGGCCTAGCATTAAACCTTTTCCCTGCTTTACATAAAGCCATGTTTCAATTTGCTGACAGATCATATAACAGAGGAAGCAAGCTCTATCGACAGTCGGCTTAATTGGCAGCATAAAAATTGAAGAGATCACAAAAAATCTGTCAATAAGTCTAGGCCTAATCTCTGCTTTGCGAATTGAAACAAGGACCCTGCTTTCCCGCAAGGGGAATGGAAGATGTTCAATAAGCTGCTTGAGAGCCTAAGAAACTTTGAAAAATCAACAGATCCAGTCCGATTACGGCGGGAAGAACATCGAGATCCTGGAGGACAATAAAGCAACAAACTGATGTTAAGACATTTTTTACCTTTATTTTAATGAATCTGACCGCATATAAGCAAGATACAGTGAATACATGAAATTGTGTGTACTTTAAGTGGTTTTGCAGAGCAAATTCCAACTTATTCGTAAGTTAGTCCCCTTCCACTCTCGCCAACATGAAACCTACTTACAGCACTGACACTAGGAAAACCCTGTGCGATAGCCTACCGTACAACAAAAATGCTGTGTTTTTATATGTAGCCTACAAAAATGCTACGGTATAACTTATGGCCCTCACCGTTCAGGCTCTTCCTTGATTGGCACTATGAGCCCATCATAACTTACCGTGGAGTTAAAAGCGCACGGATGTCCCATAAGCTTGGAACTTATCATCTCTAACTTATCTTGCCTCTCTGTGATCTGACGCAGTTTAATCCAATGAACCTGATATAATCCTACAGAGAGTAAACATTGGAATTGGCACAACAGCAATAGGCCTAGGATAAGTTAATTAGCCTAGGCTACATGCAATGAGCGGCACACCGGTTTGACAAAGAAGGTACCGGTAGCCTAACTGTATCGGTAAAAAATGACAAAACGCTCAGGCTTACAGAAAGTTAGGATTACTTAGGTCTAAGTTAGTACAAAAAATAAAGGGCTAGGCCCTATCTTAAGCCATGGTAGGCTACTCACATAGATCAATCCGGAGTAGTATCTGTCCTTGATGTTGTGAAGTACGGAAGCCTCGTTTAGACAAGTTAAGTCCGCCATATCCTCAACTTTGTTGTATTTTGGAGGATTCATCTTTTGAATGTCATCCTTAGCAACAAAAGTCCTTTTGCCGGTATCCTGAATCTCGACTTCGACTTCATCCCCCTTCTCGCCTTTGATTCCCGCGGCGACAAAACCCGCGGTTTCGTGCGGTACCCAAACCAAACGTTTTTGGGTCCATTCGGCTTGTGTTGCAGGATCATTGAAAGTGTTTCTATCGACGGACAAATATTTGAAGTCGGGATCCGACCGGTCGGTTTCGGCATCCGCCATGTTGCAAATTCAATGCAACAGACTATAGACTTGCTACCGGTGCACACAAAGGTTAACGAAACGTTGAGCAGGAACTCGGAAGAACTACAAGAGCAACGTGTTCACTGATAGATTGTTTCGACGGCACTCGAGTAACACATAACACTAGACACTTTTACTGTGACTGGGGCCACATTCGATGTGGTGGTGCGGTACGACAAACATGAACGAAGTTACTTGACTGAAAGCGGCAGTGAGGTTGAGGTTTGGAAAGGAATACGGCCGACGCCCGCTCACTGTCACGTGACCAATGTTCAGCCGCTAGGCCAGTGTTGCCAGGTGTACGATAATTATCGTATTTGTACGATTATTTTGCTCCTTCCCCATAAAAAATAATTTTGAAAAATTGTACGATAATTTTGACGTTGTGTACGATTTTTTGTCATAATGTACGATTATTTTTGGGGGGCTGGAAAATTAACTATTTCATATTGATTATTATACATTTAAACACGTTTCCCAATTTTAATATATGGAAAAACGGTAACATCACTTCGTTGCTGTTCGATCTGGCAACCTTGCAAAGCCATCAGCTGTGTTAGAGAGGGCCCATTGGCTACCAACTTAAGTTTTTATAGGAGAATTTTGAGAGAAGTTGGCCGCCATTTATACTAGGGGTAGATTACGTTGTACCTTCAATTAATTATTGTACTCAGTACATTGGCAGTAGGGGAATGAAATAAAGCAATGAGCTGGTTGAATTTTCCAGTTGAGAACGGAACGAAAATACCATCATTTTACAGTGTTTCAATTTTTTTCTAGCAGAGATGCAGATTCCGTGTGTGTGTGTGTGATAGTGTGCTGCCTCCGGTAGAATTTATATTTTTCATTTTCTAGCTCAGTGGTAGGCTAGTAGAGCAAAAACGGTGGGTGGCAGAGACAAATAGAGTAAAATTTCGGCCATTCCATCATCGACTTGCTTGTTTTACATTATAATAATATTATTTTAAAAGAAAATTGTGTGTACGATAATTTTGCCCCAAAAACGATAATTTTGGCCTGCTTGTACGATAATTTTCGCCGGCGAATCTGGCAACACTGCGCTAGGCAGCGCCACCGGACAGTGACGTTTGGCAGTTGAAGAAGCATCGAGTAGTTTGATTTCGTCGTCATTTATCCAACTAGGACCAGTTACTATAAGCAATGAGTTTTGTGGTTCTATTCTAATATACATATTTAAACTACATTTATAATATTACTTCGCGTTGATTGCATACTAATTTTTCTTGAATTAAAAAAACTAGAGAATGATATTGGTTAAACGTGCAACTAAACAATCATAAAAAACACGTGGGGATTCTAAAATAACCATAGATAAAACATACTCAGAGGAATCAACCAGCTCAATTGACTCATGTTTTTTTTTACAAACCCGCAATCCCCTACCTATTAATATCATTGTACTAAGTGTACATGTGGCGGCCAACGGCCAATATTTATTTCTCTAATTCAGCGCTCACTACTCACCTCCTTGTATCTTTAGCTCCGTGGATGACTACTAACTGAATTTATGGCACAGTAGCCAATATGTGTTTTGTTTGAGACGGAAATTTGACTTGGATTCGAATAAATCCAACTATTAACTTGAATATGAAATCTGGAATGGAATAAGAAGTGTCTATTTCACTGTACCACCGGTACATAGGTTACACTAGACAGTACAGTCAAAAATCTAAATAGCTAAAAGTATAATTTTGCTGGATGAGCTATGTTTATTTGTAATCTGATATAAAAACATTTTTTAATCATTTTTTTATATTAGGTAATAATCTGTTTGAATTGCCACTTTTACCCTGTAAACGTGGATTTATTACCAGATTGAACCCAAAATAAAGCCAACACTTTAAAACTGGCTCTCATCTTGCGGTTGTCTGTGTAAAGCATGGGATTTTTATCAAGGGTAATTGTGATTATGTATTGAAATCAAATTGTGTTTCATTTTAATTTGACAGATGAAAACTTGTAGCCTTATTAAAATAATCTTAGACTATTCTTAACAGTTTTGTTAATACTTATTTACTAAGTGATTGTAGTGACTTATTATTAATTAATTAAATGTAACGATTTTTTTTGTAAATGTTTATCTATACCGTATACTCCCAAAATAGATATTCAATTTTATTTTATGCAACACCTTAAATTGAAACTTTAAACAAAAATTCAACCAGAAAGTAGTTAAAGTAGATTGTGCTAAAAACATGTCACAGGTGGTTTAAATGTCCAAACCAACCCGAATACGGAGCTGATAAATTCAAAACAGGCGAATAATTCTCGGTGACTAACTGGAAAGGACTTTCTCGACCATAAAAGGTTCGAATCTACCAAGCGCCACCACTCCAGCTGTGATTCAACCCATCCCAAGGTTAACTTAGGACAACAGCTGGTGCGATGACGTCATTGACCCCAATCAGCTGATTCGCTGATTCCCGCCAACCAGCTGTTTAGCCTCATACATTTTCATCCTGCAGAAATAAGAGAATTCTCTCCTTTAAAGATTGCAAATGTATACGTGCCTCGTTTACCTTATGCTGGGAGAATACTTTAGACCTAGACGAATGCGTATGTCTATGCTTAAATGCTTACCAACACATTTTGTAGTTGAAGCAAAGCAAACGATACATTTCTGTTTCTGCAAATAACGGACGAGATAATATTGAATGAAATAATCGAGATGAGTGATGGTTCTATAATATTCTGACACTTCTGACGCAGTTTATCCAGTAAACCTGGTCAAAAACGAATATATGTGGTATTAAAGGTATGAAAAAGCTTATACCGGTTGAAAATGAACTCGAGTTACATACGATAAGCCTTTCACACGGTTGTACCCGTAATAAAACTGCCCTGCAATCTATTTTAGTGATCTATGTATTTTAGTGACTGGGGGATTGTTTTTCAAATTACTTCAGGCTAGACCTAGGGGTTGCGGCAATTTCACAGTGTAACATCCTTTGGCGATTTGGCGGGCATTGCTACATCTTTATCAATTAAGTTTAAATTAAATGTTTTGTTTTTAAATCAGGAAGCCACTGTCCCAGGTTAACTTTACTTGCCTCGCTGTCCGCTCAACTTTCCCTCCAAATCCGCCGCGCCGCGCGCTTGTCAGGCCGACGACCCAGCTGTTATTACTGGCTTTGTTATTGTCGACCCATTGTTGTTGTCATACCGGCTTCTGATTGGTTGGCAGACTTGATTAATCTTAAGCAGAAGGCCGCGGTTTAATCGGCTATAGTCGAATTGTTCTCAGTTAATGGTCGCCCGTTGGTATGCTTTACATCACCAACGTAATTTGAATATTTTATAGTTTACGTGTACTGGAATTTGTCAAATTTTGTTGTAGTACAAAAACAGAGATTTAAAGCCTTAGTGTAATTATTGAATTCCGAAAAGATGTCGTTTACATTACAATTTTTCTTTATGTATCTGTGTCATTTTTCTTTTATTATTGCAGTTCAACACACTACGTATGCTGTCTTTGTTTTTGTTGTTTTGATATCAAAATTTTTATTTTGCGAGAGGACCCTCGCACCAATTGTCATTTGAATAGGGTCCAAATGTTGTTTCTGAGGTAAAACAATGCCAATGCAATGATCTGTTACCTTTCAAAATTATGTTTGCTTAAATCAGTTACTAGGTGAATCATCTTCATTATGCTTCCACGGTCGCATTATTTGGCTATACCAGAAACTACCGACATTTGGGCCACACAGGCATCTTCAGGGCGAGCGAGCACTATAACACGTTATGTATATGTCCTTTAGCACGATAACTTGAGCAAAAATGATCCGATTTTGATGAAATTTGGTACAAACGTGTAAACCTACATTCATTCGAACGAGTTCACGAACCAGAATTGGACCATTGGAACGGGGGTTTATGGGGGTTTCAATATACTAAACAAATAATTTAGTATATTGACTCGGTCCTTTTTAGCATTTGTACAAAACGCCCGTAACTTCAATTCGAGTTTCATTGGTTATTTCTTCTCTTGTGTTAAGCATTAAGAAGTTGTCAAGTTGAAGACTTATACGGTGTCGAAGTTGACCTCTTCCTTCATGGTTTTAAAAAACTCATCAGGAAACTGTAATAACTGTTGTAAACAACTGATCACTGCAACTGAATCTACTCCTCCTTCACGTAATAGGTATACTGATTCTCACCTTTCAAAATCTATCATAATCTACTCTAACTCAAAGTCTTCACTCATTTGAAGTTGAAGTAGAATTTGTTTGCATTACAAATACGTCCAGATGGAATTAGCAAATTTTCCATATAGGGAATAAGCTATTACCGTAGTACTCATGGTAAGACCTGGACCCAGGACCGATTTACTTTGAGGTCATTTTGATGAAATTAGGTATAAACGTGTAAACCTACATTTATTCGAACGAGTTCGCGAATCAGACTATGGGAACAGGGGTTTGTGGGGGTTTTATGGGGTAAAAATAAGGGTTTCCCATTTTTAACCCTAAAAACACAAAACTTCAAAATTGATTTTCAAACTATTTTGTAGAGCTTTAAAAAACAATAATTTAGTACATTGAGGCGTTTTATTGTGCGCCTAATGGTTACGAAGAAAATTGCAAAAAGTTTAAAATTTACAATTCCTATGTTATTCTTATGGAGAATAAGTCAACTGTTGTAGTTTGATTGTTTATGAACATATTATGATCGAATTTGAAAAATACATTCATTTCTTACTAAACTATTAACATTTTACAACAAAAAACACTTTTTTACTCTCCCTGTTGCAGCAAACCTAAGTACTCGTTAAACTAATTCTATTTGAATAGAGAATAAATGTGACATTTTTAAGGAGGCATTTTAGTGTAAATCCAATCAGGCAAATGGAAATTCGCTTAGTCTGAAGGTTTGCTGCGGTGGGGGTATTTTTGTTTTAATAACAGCTAGATTTGGGTTTAGTGGAAATGCAAGTGAAACAGCTAGGCGTTCTGAATTTAAATTTGGAAAAGTAAATATAGTGTTGTAAGAAAGGTATTTTGGGGTTTCATTCTAGTTTTATGGGTTGAATTGAATATCAAAAGCCAGTTTGCAAATCTGCACACCCAGCTGTATGTTTTGATGTACATAGTAGGACTATGTAGGGAAGTCTACAACAAGAAAAGGCTTTACAGGAACAAACTTTCCATGTATCGTATTAAATATACGGGTGGCGTCGTCCTGTAATCCAGCTA